CAAAATGTCTGATAATAATGTAATTACTTGATACCATAAACTCAGAGCAAAGCTGGCAAGATTTATCTGTTCATACTTTCTGGCCCTATGAAAATACCTATTGCAGGACCGCACCTGTGGCTCAGTGGGTAGGGCACCAGCCCCATAGCCTGAGGGTGATGGGTTAAAACCCGCCCTGGCCAAACTGCAACAAAAAAATAGCCAGTGTTGTGGCAGGCTGTTTGTTGAGGCTGAGGCAAGAGAACTGCGTAAGCCCGAGAGTTGGAGGTTGCTATGAGCTGTGTGATGCCATGGCACTCTACTGCGGATGATAAAGTGAGACTTGGTTTCAAAAAAACAAAAGAAAGGAAGGAAGGAAAGAAGGGAGGGAGGGAGGAAAAGGGAAGGGAAGAAAGGAAAGAAAGAAGAGAGAGAGAGAGAGAGAGAGAGAGAGAAATACCTGTTGCACCCAGCCATTCAGCCATACTTGTTAGACCGGCTCAGCTTCCCTTATTGTGCTTTTTATTGGTAAGAACATATCAAATAGAGTCACAGGTACAGCAACACAGAAAAATCCACAAGAGAAAGGTGTGTGTGTTTTTAAGGAGCACTTAAAATTGATGAACCCTTCTGTCTTAGACGATCACAGTTGGTAGAAAGGGATTAAAAATGATGAAACCCTGCATTTCATCAATTTCACAACCTTCCCCTCTGGGTAAGGAAAGTTTCCACCTGCTGAAGTAGGAACCTTTAAATGAACGCTCAGATTTGTCAATTTCACACTAGTCTGTCCTCTTAAGACCATCTCGTGGCCAGAGACCAAGGACATGTCAGACTGTTATTCAGACCTCACAGGTGGACACGATTAGACCAAATGAAAGAGGGACGCATCCTTCACGACACAAAATTAGTTAACGTTTTTAATGTTAACAGTATAAGATATACTTAAACTTCAGTGCTTGAACAGAGAAATGTTTTTTGCATTTTATACTTTAAACAGGTAGGATATGGCTTACTCTTCTTGTGCATCCTTTTTTTCCTTAATCCCTTGAATGTACTAACTAGACAAGTTAAAAATCCAAGGATTGATTACATTATCTTTAACTGTGAGTTTGGTTTTTTTTAAGAGACAGAGTCTTACTCTATTGCCCTGGGGTACAGTGCCGTGGTGTCACACCTCACAGCAACCTCCAAAACCTAGGCTTAGGCGATTCCTTTGCCTCAGTTTCCCAAGTACCTGGGACTACAGGTGCCCGCCACAATGCCCGGCTATATTTTTGTTGCGGTTTGGTGGGGGCTGGGTTTGAATCTGCTACCCTCAGTATACCAGGCAAGTGCCCTACTCACTTAGCCACAGGTGCTGCCCTTTACATGGGAGTTTGTGAAGTTAAACCCAGGAAAATTGGTCCTTGGTTACCAATAGGTCCTGCCTGCTTCTGGAGTCACTATGCTCCATGACCTGGTTTGGAGTCTCCTTCTGTATTGCCCAAACCATTGTAACTTCCTGTTTAGTCCTTCATCTCTTGACTTTTTCTCAAAAATCCATCTTTCCCATATTGATTTGTCTATCTAGGCCTGGCATTTGGCCAACATGTCATTTACAACCTAGTACAATCACCCTAGGTAGTAAAATGTTGAAATACTTCATCATTGTCTAACAGCTTAGCTGCTACCCCCGTCTGATGAGTCCTCAGCCCTGTTGGTTCCTCTGTTGGGAACCCCTCCCAGTCCCATCTTTGTTTAACAACTTGAAGGGCACCGGCCTACAAAGTAGAAGGTCTCTAGGATAGCAAAGAATACGAGCGCTCTGTGATAGTGTTCATTCCAGGGGTGTTCATACTCATCAGTTTTTACTGTGAAAATTAGAACTGAGGTTGATTCTTACGAGAGAAAACATGGCCAAGTTCTAGATCATGGTTGGTAAATCAGTTACATCAAGGCCCTTTTGTTCTCCCGAGTCCCCAGGTCCTCCACGCTGCTTTAGGCATGGTGAACAGAACACCAGGGACTGTTCCCTGGCCTTTGGTGCTCTCTTCCTGGTCATGATCCCACCAGGTTCTCACAACCATTTGTCAGAAAGACCATTGGCTACGCTTGACAGATGAGACTCAAAGAGGCTAAACATAATTGTGTAGTGTTGACCTGCTGATAGAAACTGGGGCCCAAATCCTGCTTTCCTGTTTCAGAGCCTACATCCTCCTTTCCTTGGCACACAACCTTTCAGTAATAAATATTAGAATCCAAACACTTGTACAGTACAACCTCCATAGTTGACTACCTTCCTACCTTGACCTCCTCAGTAAGTGGACCTAATTAATATTCATGGCCACTGTCCTGTGCAGTGCACATAATGGCACAGAAAAACATAAGAGTGCTCAAAGCACCGTACCCAGCCTAGAAGACCTTTTTTTTTGCAGTTTTTTTTTGGCTGGGGCTGGGTTTGAACCTGCCACCTCTGCCACATGGGACCAGCGCCCTACTCCTTTGAGCCACAGGCGCTGCCCAGAAGATCTTTTTTTTTTTTTTTAACTTGTGGAAAGTATAGATATTATTTCCTTTTTTAACTTCCTTTTAGAACATATTAGGTATGATTTTTTTTTATTAGATCATAATTGTATACATTAATTCTATCATAGGATACAGTGTGTTGCTTCCATATGCAGTTTGGAAAACTCTCATCCAACTGGCTAACATAGCCATCATGTCCTTCTCATAATTGTTGTGTTAAGACATTTATATTCAACCTTCAGACAAATTCACATGTACCCTAGTAGGATAAATCATAGGCGTGATCCCCACAATATTATTCTCTTTAAAAATCAATTTGATTTATCACGACTAAGATGAT